CCTGAGAGAGAAAAAGGGGACCCATCTGTCAGGACAGCTGGTGTGCCCCACCCCCACCCTGGGACTAAGGAACAGAGTAGAAGCCCTCTCTAGAGGGTCCCAGGGCTAACTGGGAGCCAGCCCTCCCTTCGAGGTAGATCATCGGGGAGGGAACCAAGAAGCAGCTCCCATGGTGGCAGGGGCTTCCTCAGTGGTACTTCTGATAGCTGGGATAGCCTGGGGCTGGGGTGCCATCCTTAGGGGGCAGCTGGCTGGGGTCCTCCAGGAACGGGGGTGCTGGAGAGGGGAGAATCCGGTAAGGATGAGTGGAAGAGGCCAGGTGGAGCATTTCCCGCTCCCCTCACCACCATCTACCAGATACTCACCATTTCGGAACTGCTGGGCAGTGTAGCGAGTGAGGAGGATGCCAACACCCTCAATGAGGGCCAACAAGATGCCCCCCATCATCGCTGAGCCCATCATTGCCAATGGACCACCTAGGGGAGTTGGGGGCAGAGAAACAGAGGTGAGGGCAGGCAGAACAGGGTAGAAGAGGCTGGGGTCAGGGCCAGGGCCAGGGGGCACTCACTGCGGGCAGCCAGCACAGCCCCGGTCAATGCTCCACTGGTGATAGAGTTCCAGGGATCCTCCTTGCCCCGAAGCCGTACCAGGCCACAGTCGATGGTGGAGAACAGGCCCCCCCACACTGCAAAGCTACCTGTAGTGGGACCATGGCCTAATTAGTTCCTGGGAAATCCCAAGAATTTACATCTCAGGGGGCTTCCAAGGCCTGAATGCTTTGGCCAAGAACAGGGGAAAAAAACCCAGACACAAAGGCAGATAGCAAATCCCCAGAGAGTATTTCCTATCTGTCCCCATCCTGTGGTAGCTCCCACTTCAAGTCGTCTATAATCACCATCAACATTCCCTTCACCTTTATGGGGAGCTGACAAATGTTTACAAGCAGATTTATCTTCATATAGCCTTTAACAGAGCAACTTTGAGCTTCATAATCACCACACAGAGTTGGAATTCTGATTTGGATTTCAGTGAGAAGAAAATAGGTTGGAAAAGCCAGTTAATATGATAGTTAAGATGTTTACTGAGGGCTTACTGTGTGCCAGGACCTGTTCGAGGTACTGTTATTTGACTTCTGCAATTTTAAATTAGTTAATGTTATTAAAATGTTTAGCATAGCAACACGCACTTAGTAGTATGTAAATTACATAAACTACAAAACTACTGATAAGGTGGTTACTGTTATCACCACCCCAATGGGACAGGTGAGGTTCACAGAGGTTAAGCCACTAGCCCAAGGTCACATGGCAGGGAAGAGTCAGGACCTAAATTTAAACTCCAGAACCCACTTTCTTCCCCTCCATATTCAATTGCTGGAAAACATCACACCCCTGGAAAGTCTCCAGCAGGGGCTAGAATCTGAACTCCCAACTTGCAGCCTAGACCTGAAGGATCAACCACTCCCATCTTTGCCAAGACATCTCCTATATCTATATCCTCAAGCCCCTCACCTCCAATCTGGGGGGCTCGGATCCTCACAGCGTTGGCACTACCTCTCAACCGGTGCCGAATTCCCTGGGGAAAGGAAGAAAGGGAGTCATGGCAGGGCTGAAGACACTGGCAGATGGGTTTCCATCTTTTAAGAGAGGGAAGAAGATGGGAGATCTGTTAGAGGTATCAGCGGTAGAGATGTGGAGAAGTGGCCAAGAACTAGGGATGTGGAGGGTGCCCCAAAATGGATGTTCTCAGAGCTGAGTTGACAAGTGCTAATTCATTCATATATTTGTTCATTCATTCATTCATTCGGTAAATGATTAACAAGTACTGGCCGGGCGCAGTGGCTCACGCCTGTAATCCCAACACTTTGGGAGGCTGAGGCAGGCGGTTCACGAGGTCAGGAGATGGAGACCATCCTGGCCAACATGGTGAAACCCCGTCTCTAAAAAACAACAACAACAACAACAACAAAAACAAGTAAACAAGTACCTACTATATGTGCCAGGCACCATGCCATATACAGGGATACAGCCATGAACAAGGTAGATCTGCTCCCTGCCCTCTCAGAGCTCACATTAACAGTGGGAGACACAGATCGTGAGCAAGGGTAGGTAAACAAGGGAGCTTCAGACAGCAATCTGCGCTTTAGCAGAAACACCATGAAGAAATATGATTGGGGCTGAGGGGTCAGGAAAGGCCTCTTGAAGGAGAGGGAATTCGTGCTGAGACCTTGATGATGAGAAACTTGGCCAAAGATCCAGGGAGGAGAGTTCCAGGAATCTAGGGGAGGGATGGGGCTACATATATAAATTGCAGAGACTTTGGCAAATAGATAGCATTAAAACCACAGCATTTGTGATCTTCTGGGAAGGGAGGTGGTCAGAGAAAAATAATTATGTTAAAAGAATTCTCTCAACTTTAATGCTGTCTTCCCTCTGGCAATTAAATTCCTGTCATTTTCCTCTATCCAGGTTTCTGAGCCAGAATCTGCCTCTAGGCAAAATGTGTCTGGTCCTGGTGTAGTGGTTCATGCCTGTAATCCCAGCACTCTGGGAGGCTGAGGAGGGTGGATCACTTGAGCTCAGGAGTTAGACAGCATCCCAAGCAACATGTTGAAACCCCATCTCTA